AAATAACTATCCTTCAGCATAAATACTTTTAACATCAAAAGTGTTCACTTCAGAGGCACTTCAGAGGCTGTAAGTCAAAAGTAGTTATATCAAAGGCATGAGAAAGTTATAAATAACTTGAAACTTATATTTTTAGGGATTCTTTCTCTTTTTTTTTTTCTTTTTCACACTCTTAGAGAGATAGAGAGAGGATTGAGGGCAAATTTCAAGGCTTAATTCTTAAGGAATCAAGCTTAGGACTTGGATTCATGAAGATTTTTTTACACATTCTCTTTCGCTCTTTCTTTCTCTCATTTTTCTATAATCATATTCTAATTTCTTTTTGTTAGGGATTGATGAATTCTATTTGGATATTGTAAATTAATTATGTATCTGAGTTATAGGTTCTTGATTGAATTGAACATTTAATTCTTTTCTTAATGTAATTATTGGATTAGTTGTTCAATTGAAATGAACTTAGAGATTTCATATCAATGGAAGTTGAGTGAATATCTCAGATCTGAATTAAATATCAAGATTAATGATGCCTTAGGAATAAGTATTCATTATCTTATGGTCTCTTAATTTCTCATGCTTAATATAATGTTTGGTTGATTTACACTTAAGGAATTAGGGTAATTGATATTAAGATCATTGAGTCAAAGAATTGAACTTTGATTGACCTAGTAAAATTGATCATTAATCAATTAATGAACTTAGGAATTCAGATTATAATTAGTTTTGCAATTGACGAATAGATGAAATTAACCCTAACTTCATTTGAATAGTAACTTAATTTCTCAAACCTTCACTATGATTTCTATTTTCTGCACTTCTATGTTTTGGTTCTCAAATATTCAAACCTTCTCATATTTCGATTAAGCTCAAATAGTTTTTAATCTTGTAAATTGGTACTTGAACGTGTCAATCCCTATGAACGATACTCGAAACTCAAAATTCTTATTTTTATTACTTGCTACAACTACCTAGTACATTTGCTAGATAGATTCTAGAGTTAACAACATAAAAACCAAGGTGAAATTTCACCAAATTGATTGATGAAAAATCTTTCGTTGAACATGCCTTAAATTGACTACCTACTAATTTCACACAAATAAAAAAACTACTCTTAATACCATTAATGCGAAATGAAGTGTGAATGACCTTATTACCAGGTGTACTGTTGAGGAAAAAAACCTAATAAGTAAATAGGTACTTGCAAAGGACCAAAGATCATGTACTTTTGTATAGGAGAGTTGACAACTTGAATATTATGAGGGTATATAGATTTAGATCCTAGAGGGTGTCCTAGTGATAGAAAATTGACTTCAACATACATCTTTATGATGACAAGAGGTGGCATATCTTGAAAGAGTAAGAAACAAACTCTTGTTGCATCTTTTACTATCCATGCATAGTGCATTGCTTGCTTTGTTGATGCTACTCATGTTATCTGGTTGAGAAATATAGTGATAAGACTTTGTATTGTGGTCTCCATTGTGAGGTTATTGAGGATCTTTTATGATAATGTTGTTACAATATTTGATTGTTAGAGATCTTGTGAAGATTCCACGTTGCCTAAACCCTTAACCAAGGGACTTAAAGCCCATTATCTTCAAAAGATATGTTGAAAATATGAGCATTATGAGTTCTTTTAATGTGTTTGATTAGTGGAGTTTATTTCTTATGACATGTATTCTTATTTTGAGCAATTAATAATATATATTTGTTATATCAATTGTTAAATTTAAAAATCAGTGTTGTTAGAGTCATTGTGCCTTTGATTGACACTATATTGGAGTTTAGGTATAATTTTAATTTTGAGCTCATATTGTTTGGACCATTATGCTAATGGTCAATGCCATTTAAAACTGAGGTATCAAGATCAAATTTTGAGTTCGACATCGTTGGGACCATTATACTAGTGGTCTATGCCATATAGAGTTGAGGTATCATGATCAAATTGTGAAGTTGACATCATTTAGACCATTATACCAGCAGTCAATGTCATTTAGAGTTGATGTATGATGAGTTTTTTCATAAGAACGTGTAATTTCTTTGACTTCAAGGCATTTAAGAAAATTTGTAAAGATCAACAAAAAATCAAAATGATGGTTTGACTTTTGAATCACATTGGCATGTCATTTTCTTGTTACACTTCACATTAATGAATAATAGATAGAGTTGATAATATTTGTAACTATGAAAAATCATATATCAATAAAGAATGTAATAATTGTCATGATTAGGTATTATTTGACTTTAATTGAATAAAGTTGTCTTCATATATTGCATCATAAATTAAGTAGTTTTTAAATGTAGTCACATTATAAAATTAGTCATTAGTTTAAGAGTCATTTAGAAAACTATTTTTTTAATTAAAATTATACAATTGATTTTGCCCAAGTGAGAGAATGTTAGAAGTATATAATTTTTCGTGAACTAAAATAAATATTTTTTTAAAAGAAGGGCTAATTCATGATTCAAATGAGGTGCATAAATAAGTCTAATAATTAATTTAAGAAATTTATTTGTTTAGACTTTGATATTTGTAATTAATTAGTATGGATTAAAGAGGAAGTCTTAACCCAAAAGTCCATGATGGTAGAGAATTGAAGTAAGTACTTTATATGTTTGACTAAGTCCTTTATGTAGTCACATGAATTGTTCCAACTTGCCCCATCGAGAATTGTGATATGAGAAAGTGAATAACAGAAGAAGATCTAACCTATTAGTTATCACATAATTCAAAGATTGAATATGATTTTTATTATAAAAATTATATCTTCAATAAGTAAGCCTAAGACTTTATTATTAGATATTATTTGTGTTTTAATTTAATATATTGTCATGTAAATCATTTTTACTTAGACAAATTTCTCCTTTGATACCTATTCTTGTGCCTTTCACTCAACGTGTATCTCCTTACTTTTAGAAAGATTTTATCTTTTTGACTCATTTGATATACTCCTCCTAACTCTTCTAGTTCCTTCTCCTCTACCAAAGAGAGTTCAATTGATGAAGCTAATTCTTCCACATTTTCACTTAAGTTAAGGTCTAAGTAACAAAGGAAAGCAGACTAATTTTGATTTTCACCTATGATATTTAATACTTAAAAAAAAATTCCTCCTTTGATGAGAATTGAAGGAACTTATGCCTTAGACCCTAGGTTTTTTTTTTTTTTTTAATTTATCATAATGTATGTGTTATTAATATTGACCAATATATTACTACCACAAATGTTTTGTGTATAATTGTATAAATTTTAAAATTTGTATATGAAGTATATTATTTTTCTTTTATAGTAAACAGAGCCTACAGGTCCAAACACAAACAAACTAAAACAACAGTCTAAAGGAAGGGATTCCAATGACATTCATCCTCAAGAAAGGGATTAAGGAAGGTGGAGCAATATCAAAACAAGAAAAAGGCATACCAGCTTCTAAACCACACTTGGCAAGTTAGTCAACACATATTAGTCTCTCTAAGAATATAGCTAAACCTAATGAATTCAATCTTAGATGGCAGCTTTTTTATCTCCCTAATTATAACAAAACAAGGGTAATTACTACTCTGAAAATTAATAATAAGAGAAAGAGTCTCCTTTGAGTCGATTTCTATCCAAATAAAATTAATATTCTTAGAAATGACTAGTTGGAGACCCCGAAAAATTTCCCATAATTTAGTAATCAGGGAGTGGAAGGCTCCTTAGAGCTGAAGAACCCAATAACGACATTACCCTTGGTGTCCCGGATAAGACCTCTGCAGCTGGTAGCACCTTGGACCTGCGAGAAGTAACCATCAACATTAAGCTTGAGATGTCTTTCCAAAAAGGGTGTCATTTAATGTTGTTTTGGACATCCAAAATTCCAGCCAAAGCTCTTTGATGCTGCATGCCATAAAAGAAAAAGTAATCAAAATCACAAAAAAAATTATGTAAAAGAGCATCAAAATGTAAAAGAGTATTTTGAAAAATAGTCCTATTTTTATTATACCAAAAATGCCACACAATCACACCAAAAAACTTATTCTATTATGAGAATGGAAGGATTTTTTATTGGTCAGATTTAGAAATAGCCAGCTAGATAAACCTAAATTAAATAAAGAAGGGAGGACAATTTGGTCCTAAATCTGCTTGGCCTACCAACAATCTCTAAGCACATGAATGACATTTTTATGGGCCTTCTGACATCTACTGCATAAGGATGAATTGAACATCCCACGGGAAGCTCTTTCCACATTAGTCAGTAACCTCCCATAAGAAAATAGAAATCCTAGGAGGCCCCTCCCAATTCTACACAAATTTAAAAATAGGATTGCAGTTGGGTTTGCTATGAGTAGAATTAGAGAGCAATTCAAAAACAGATTTTAACGAAAAACTCTATTACTAGCAAGCTTCCAAAATAACAAATCTTGGCCCCCAACTAACTCAGGGGGAATTAAAAGACTAATATGATTGCAAATAGAAGCAGGTAAAAGTTTTCTAATTCTATGCAATCCTACAAACCTTGCACAGCAAAAAAAAAAATAAAAAATTAATATGATCATCAATCTCATCCCTAAAAATAGGCTCTAAGGCAACATCAATTAAGTTTTGATGAAGTATATTATTAAATATAATTGTATATACATATTTAATATTTTTGCTACAAAATATGTTAAATTAATTATAAATAAATTACTATTAACTATAATAATAATAATAAATAGTAAAATTATCGCATATAATATCTAATTTAATTCATATAACATAAAATAAAATTAACATGACATTTATGATTTTATTTATTTCATATTTTTAAAAATTAATTTCAGATGTTCTAACTTTATAATATAAAATTTTATCTATATCTCAAAAAAATTATGAGTCAATTTTAATGATACGAAAGAAACAAAAAAATAAGTTAATAAATTATCAATAAAGAGACTAAATAAAGAAATTTCTTAAAAGATGAAATAAAAAATTAAAAATAAAAAAACCAAATAAAAAGTTATAAATTTTTGAAAAATCAAGAAACTTTGTTTAAGCCTAAAATGGTGCTCCAGAAAATATAATGCGGGTATAGCCAGCCGAACCGAACAACTCTTCCTCATCCTTCTGGGAAGAAATGAAGCAGCTTCCAACGCTGCTGATGAAGTCCCTTTCAGTTTATTCCTTACCACCTACCACATCCACCCTTCAACAAATTGCTTCCCATCAACCCAAAGGTGTCACTTCCCATTCTCTCTCTCTCTCTCTTTCTCTCGTGTGTGTAATGGTGTATCAGTGTTGAGTCCATGCATGGGTTTGAGCTTTTTTTCTTACTTTTGCTTGTGTGTTGGTGGTGGACAACATCGAAATTCGTTGATTGACTCTGTTGCAATGCGCGTTTGTAATTTAAATGTGCGTTAATTGTTAAAAGAAGAGGGAGTTTGGTGAAGGCATGGATAAGAAAAACTCTGTGGCATGTTGGATTCTTATTGAGTTTTGGAATATAAATTTAGGGCACGGAATAGAGTGGTTGACAATTTCTCTGTTACCAAGACATATGAATCTTCCTTAAATAGTGATTATTGGTTAATTGTGGTTTTACATAATAGGGTAAAGGTCCTGTGGATAGTTTGACTAGATTCTTAGCTCTAACTCTGGCTTTTGGATTGAGGCTTCTAATTTGGTGTAAGTTTGACATCCTCATTTCCCTGCTGTTTTGTGCATTACATTTTAAGCAAAAATGTCGTATGTCAGTGGCAGTAGTTTTGCTGTTTTGTGTTGTGGCTATCATTTTTTAAAAAAATTAATTGCTTGTGCTCTACATTAGAAAAAAAAAGTCTATAAGCACCAACTTTGATGGCTTCATGTGTGTTTTTAATGTACATACATATTTGTATATAGTATTATAGATTGATTCAACAGCCATACATGTGAATGTTGCATTATATTAAGCTTACTGAATTATTTTATGCATAGTTTGCGTTTGTAGGTGTTGCAAAGGTTGTACTGAAAAAGGGGAAGACACAACTCTTTAAGGATGGAAACCCAATGGTGTACAGTGGAGCTGTTGATAGAATAATTGGGAGGCCGCCTCCTAAGACTGGAGATATTGTTCTAGTAGCAGATGGGACTGAGAAACCAATTGGATGGGGCTTGTACAACTCAGTTTCTATGTTCTGTGTTCGGCTTATGCAGCTTGAAGATGAAGTTACCAGGTTTATATATTGTATATATAATTATTCATTCCTTTCTATTTTAGCTTAGTCCACTGACCAAACAATGTAGGCCAAACCAAGAGTGTGCTGCTTGGCAGGGAGTAATATTTCTCTTGGGCAGAGTGATCCTCTTGAGTTTAAGACATTCTCTAAAGAATCAAAATTACAATATTATTAGCCAGAATCTTCCAATCATATAGTACCTAAAGGGTATTTACATGCTACAGATGATAAAAACCTAGATAAATCCTAATTTAACAAAAAATCCTAATTAAAATGTGAATTTCCTAAAATCTGAAATCCGAACCAAATAAGAAGTCTTAACATGATCATGTTTACGTGAGAACATTTCTTCCCAAATATTTTAACAATAACATAATTTCCAAATAACAATTTTTCATAAAATTGCTTTTTCATACTGTATCACTGGACCTCTGATATTTAGTTCTTGATTATGCAGTGATTCATCTTGTGCATTGAGTATGGAGAAACTGCTGGAAACAAGAATTGATGCAGCAGTTGAATTGCGTAGAAGGTTGGGTCTTCCATCAGTCCATACAAATGCATATCGTCTAATCAATAGTGAGGGTGACAGGTGAGAGATGGAGGCTTGAACTTTTCTTGGGGCCCCTGGGCTGGGAGTGTGGACCCTCAAAGTGTTGCAGTCTTCTATTCTTGGTTTTCTGTTTAGTTATTGATTCTCATCTGTGTAATTGGAGTTTGCCGTTATTTCTCTGTAATAAATACCTTGTTCCTATAATTCACCCATAACGAAATTATTAGTGTCTCTGAGTATTAGAAATTTAGAATTAAAAATGCAATATGTTTTATTTTATTCATCAACGATGCCTTCTTCAATAATATGTATATGCTTGCCCAACATTCACCATTTTGGCTAGCCTTGTTGTTAACGAGAATGTCCTTGATGCATTGTTTTATTGGACACATGTTTTGCCAATTGCATATCTCCTTTTATTTGAATGTCTTTCCTTGTACAGCCTCCAATACTAAGTAGGTCTGATCACTGATAATCACACTTTCTAGTTTAAATGATAATGCCTTGAAGAAGTTTGCATGATTTTGAATGGGGCTCTGCTCGTTCCCTGCAGATTATCTGGATTGATAATTGACGTCTTTGGAGATGTAGCTGTAGTAGCATCATCTGCTGCCTGGGTTGAGAAATACAAATCAGAGATAGAAGCTTGCATCAGGAAAATCAACTATATCAATCACATAAATTGGAGGCCATCTGTTGATATTTTAAAGGAAGATGGAGTTAATGTGTCTGATATGAAGAAAATGCACTCGTCTACATGTCCTGAAAGAACGAAGGTATGCAAAATTGCAAATATCCATTAAATGATGTTCATCAAAATTTCAAATTGTTTTTTGTTGTGTACTTGTCTTTGTTTGTAATTTTTTTTTGCAACATTAATGCTAAGCCTGACCTTAAACTTCATAATAGAACAGTATTCTGTAGAGATAATAGCCATATTTTGTCCATATATTTGTTTGTTATTTAATTGATATGCGGCACAGGATAACTAGCTGCAGATTAAATGATAAGTGTTCCATAATATGAACCACAAAGTTAAAAGAATTGTTGAACCGACCTTTCTACCTTATAATACATATTTTGTGTATGGGGGAGGGGGGGTCTTGGATACTACCTTCTAATCCCAATCAAAAGCCAGTTGGGCTATTGGAATTACAGTCATGGAGATATGAAATATACTGATTTTGAGATTTTTGGGTCATGTTCCCATTTGTCAGATTTTGGAAAATGGAATTGTATACGCAATTTCACTCAAGGGCCAGAAGACAGGATTCTATGCAGATCAGCGTGAGAATCGCCAGTTTATATCAAAAATTTCAGATGGTCAAAAGGTTCTTGATCTTTGTTGCTACAGTGGTGGTTTTTCTCTAAATGCTGTGCGTGGAGGTGCACTAAATGTCACTGGTACACTATATGTTTGATTTCTCCTATTTCTTTTATTGATAATCTTTGTTTTTGATTGACATTATAATATTGTTGATAAGTTGGTTGTTTAACTGCCTCGTGATCGAAATTTACAAAGAAAGGACGCATACAACTTACCATTATTGAGCTATTGAAGTTCAGTATAGTTGACTCTAATCCAACAAAACTTCCAACTTGTACTAGGAAAATTTAAGACAGTTAAACCTATTATTAACCAGGAGTCTGCACCGTATTGTGCACCTGCTAACTGCAGACCATTCATCTGAAAGGAATTTAGTCATCCAGTGGCCTGCGGAGAATGTATTTTTTTGTGACCATGATAGGAACATAATGATATAAAACGAGATAGTTCCTATCAGTATTATATATATAACACACATTCAATAATAAAGGATATACATGCTGTACATTAGGAAATAAAATAAGGAAACACAGCTAGACAAATAAAAGAAAATAACTGTACAGTAATTAAATCAGTATAAAATCAAAATGATACAGTTTCCTAATTGGATGATATTTCCCTAAACAAGAGATTCTCCTACAGTGACTGCTGGAGTGACTTAATAAGTTTGATTATGTCAACAATTTTGTTAGGCATTGACACATCGCTGCCAGCTCTGGAGCTTGCTAAGGAAAATGTTATACTTAACAACATTGATCCTGGAAGAATTTCATTTTTGAGAGAAGATGCAACTGAATTTATGAAGGGTGCTCTCTTAAAAGATGAATCCTGGGATATTGTCATCATTGATCCTCCTAAACTGGCACCAACCAAAAAGGTATCAATATGCTAATCCTTCTTGATGTGTATGTAAATTATGCACTGCCTACTTTAACAAATATGATTGTGAGAAAATGTTACGTGTCTTTTAACATAGTCAACATTGTCTTCCCATTTCCCTGTAATGGGGTTTCTTTAATGCTTGTTTATGATATGGTTTATCTTTTTGGCTCATTTCTTTCTCATTTTCTAATATGCCCAATAATGCTGTTATTAATAGAACAAAATTTGTCATTGTGATTGTACTTGCACATGTGTGTCTAGGATTGTGTATGTTTGAGCGAGCTTGTCTGTGTCTCCACAGGGTGCAACAGATTGCGCTTCCATGATGTAAAACTGAGGTCATTAGTTTTGCAGATTCTCAATGACTTGCTTTAGGATCTGTTTCTTGAAAATCTTTGCATAAATTGGTCTAATCCTACTTGTATATCCTTTTTATTCCCCAAAATATGTAACAATTGTAAATCGTTTCCATTTTGAAGTGATTAAATTCTTCTTTTTTTCTTAAATATTTCTTAACAAATATAGTGATTCAAAATTATATTTGATTTGCTAGTCTTCACTTTACTGATTTGGTAGAAGTAGAATTGTTTTGTAAGTGATAAGAATCTTGGGAGAATCACACCATAAAAGCTAGCTATTGTAGTTGGAGAGCTAAAGGCATTATAGACCCCACAACAAAATCTCATACTTTCAATGTGGGACTTGAGTCCCATGCCTTGGGATTGGATCCTAACATCCCACTGTACTCTGCCGCTCCAGTACCCATGTGGGCTGACTTTGCATTAGTTGTTTGAGTAGAGTCCCGAGATACATTCAATGCCAGGGTTATCACCTGTGCTGCTTGTTTGCAGTTGAGAAACATGGTAAAAGGCTTTGATACAAATTGATAAGAATCTTCAAAAAACCACACGACAAAAGCTAGTCACTGAGTTGTTGTAGTTAGAGAGCCCCAGGTCTTATAAACTCCACACTAGAATCCCATGCATGCAACGTGGGACTAAAGTCCTAAACTTTCCAGTTGGATCTTAACAGTATGCAAGATAGATCTGTTAGAGTTAGCAATTAAAGACTCATCAGTCTTTTTATCCAGTTTGTGTGATATCATAACAGATATATTTTACTTCCATTTTGAATGGGGTGTTGGGTGATATTCTCTTTTTGAAACTCAGGGACTCAGGGTGCTTTTGTTGTGGGTAGACAGATTTTGGATTCTGATTCAGTGGTGATTTGAGTGTTAAATGAAGCAAGTATAGGCAAGCGTCAGTTTGATTCTTAAATTATATTTTCAAAAACGTTACAATCAGGTCAGCTGGGGTTTTAGATTGTCTCCAGTCTATTATCTTTTCTGTGGTTGTTAGCCTAAGGTTTGGTTTTGTGGCCAAAAGGTGAGGCAGAGAGATCTTGTCTCCTTTTTGTTCACATTGGTTTTTTTCCTCTTTCTCCTTGATTTTTTTCTGGTTAGGAGGATTCTTTATCCTAGCATCTCCTTGTAATTTTTTTTTGTCTCACTGAAGTTCTTTTAATAAAACAAAAGGCTTTTGTATGGCTCTTCTATTTTTACACACATTTTCGTGAGTAGTTGATTTTGAAACAGTAATCAATGGAAATTGCAAAGCAGATTAGTTACTTCTATATGTGATGCCGATACTCAGGCATACTGCATTGAATATATAATTGGGTACAGGGATAAGGTTAAGGCTTATTGTTTTTTTTTTTTTTTATATTGATTCTCATTGGGATATTTAATGCCATGAACTAATTATGCAAACATTGCTTTACTTCATTTTACTTTGAATTTAAAGCAATTACATGAGCGTGGATTATGCAAATTCTTGTATGATCTGGTTTTGTCTCTGAAAATTTGCATTTTGCGATACCGTACCTACCTCTGCTTATTTTTCTGTTTTTTGTCTTTTGAATTTTTGTGTATGTTACAGGTTCTACACGGTGCATCTGGTATGTACAGAAATTTAAATTCGCTTGCGATGCAACTTACAAAAAGAGGTGGTCTTCTAATGACCTGTTCCTGCTCTGGAGCTGTGACCCAAAGTGGGATATTCCTGCGTATCCTTCAGGTATTAACCTATTTGCTCTAGGTCTTGTGTCAGGTCTCATGAACCTAAGTTGACAAGTCCAGTCCAACTTAGTCATGATGGGCCTTGAATTTGGAAATCATATAGCTGGAGAAATAAGAAGGGGCAGAATGGAAGGAATTAGAGAGGGAAATCAGTTATGGGAGAGCAAATTCACGTATAATGCTTCATATAGTGGGGGAGGGGAAACAAGGAGGGCAGTTTTGCTTTCTGTTAGTAGTGGGCAAGGGTGTGAAATTTTTAGGAGCATTGCTCCTGGGTATTGCAGAATTCATTCTGCAGTATTTTTCTTCATTAATTATACAATTCATATCTTTTTATTTTGGTTGCTGAAGTCTTCTTGCCTAAGCCAAAAAATATTTCATGTGAAGAATTTCTGATAGGTCATAAATTTAATAATCATAATTTTGTGTCCTTGGTTTAACAGTGATAATTCTGAATCATAAAAGAAATGTTCAATGTAATATTTAGTTTTTTTTGGCTGAGCATTGGGTCTGGAACTCGTAGAAGTTATGCTGAAGTAGTGATATTTTAACGCAAAATCACTGCTCAGATAAACATTATAAGATTCATTAATACAAAGAAATGATGAACGGATTTAATTAATACCTGGAGCAAACAAGGGACTGAATTTCTGCTTATAGACTCAACAGGTTTTGAAGTTATTTCTATAAGTGTTAGCATGAAGAGTATGGTTTTGCTGTGATGAGAAAATGTATATGGGTTTTGGATATATATATATATATATATATAAGGATTTAAATTCTATCTGCTGTCATCAATCATATATTGCCAAATCATCAAGTGGTTGAGCATAACAACTACACCGGAAATCATACTCTTTTAATGAAGTGCATACCCGTTAGGGATGATCAAGTAAAAGACTTTATGCTGGCAATGGATGAAGTTTAAACAAATAAATTTAGTATAAGAAAATAATAAAAACGTTTTGCACCATTCTTGCTTTTTTACTCCCATTTTAGGTATTTCCCACCATAATCCAATGTGACATGAAAGTTTTTTATAACATCTATGTGTGTGCAATTATTGTGATGGCAAGGTCTAGCAATGTGCTTATTAACCTGCATATTCCAAATTAATTAAATATTACCATTCTCTTATTAGGGTGCAGCATCTATGGCAGGTAGGAAAATCACCATTCTAAGACAGGCTGGTGCAGCTTATGATCATCCGATTGATCCAACATACCCGGAAGGCGCATACCTATCCAACATTCTATTAAGAGTTTCATAAGTGTTTTATTTGGAAGTTGCTTTCATTTTAATTTTTTCTTTGTAATTCTATATTTTAATGCAACTCTGCAAAATTTCCTTTCATTATAATCAGAGAAGAAATGTGTTTCACTGAAATTAATCAAGAAAAACTAGGGATATGTTTAGTTATTTTTTATTGTCAAACTAAATTAAGTAATCGTTGAAATTGAAAGCTAACTACTCAGATGCATAGGGTAGATCCTTAGCTTAGCAAAATATTGCAATAAATAGTTTTTTCATTGCTCTCCAACTTTAGAGCCAGTTTGTACCAAAATCAGATCGATTTTAGTGAAAGGAACTTTATTGATGGGGTTCAACATGTTTCGATTTTCATCATCATGTCTAGAATCGATTGCAGGGTTCTAAACAGGAATTCAAACAGACCGTATATGTTCCTGAATATCGTTTTCCAGCAAAAAATAGCACCTGTTTCCTACACACTTTGGATTCATTATATAGCATGTTTGCATTCGTGTTCAAAAGTCTACGTTTACTTTAATATTACTAATTATAGTTTTTGTACTAGATTTATGTTAACAATATTTCTAATGTGTTTCAAGTGGCATGAGGCAACATAATCTATTGGATAGACTTCATCCATTCATCAGTTTATGTTCTGAAATTTGATTGAATGCAGTGAGCGCCGCTTGTTTTGACTGTAGAGTGTCTAGGTAAGTTGGCTCGAGAGTCATCAACAATGGTCTAAACCCAGCCATGGTAAGTTGTTCCCTATGATTATGGGGTTGATTACACAACAGATATTGCACAAGTTTAGCTATTCCTCCAAGCTGCTAGCCTCACTAGAGCTTGAGATGTCAGCTAACAGAACTACTACGCCCTTGTTGATACTTTGCTGCATCCAAACAGAAACTAAGAAATCAGAACTTTAGAGTTTTCTGTAGAAGAAAAAAATGTAATATTTCATTAATTCTCAAAGAGAAGTACATGAGTATTTATATGGAGTTTCTCTCTCAGCTACAGATGATTGAATGTAAAAATTATTAGTTATGCTGACTAACAAAAGTTACGCTACTGTTATATAAGTAGCTGATAACTAAATGAAAACATATACTTTCATACACATCTTTTTAGCACTCTTAATTTTATTAAAATTTATAGAAAATTATAAATATATAAGAGAAAAATATTAAATTAGAAGTGAGCAAAAATAAAACTAGCACGATTTTTATAATTTTTAATAAATTTTAATAAAATTAAAAGTGTGATAATTTTTTTTTTGTCATAGTGTCTTACTAGCCTTTCTCATTTCATAATAAATGTCTTTGGCAACATAGAAAGTGTCAATTCTAAATTATTACGTATCATTTGCACAGTGAGTTCTCGTCCATTGTCCATGTTGGTGCTAATCTTGATCACCCTCGTCATGTGCATTCTAGTGTCTTTAACTTGGCCTGCCATCTAGGATCCAAATTGATACACTTTGTTTTGGAATGGATTTGAAAAAAAATATGTTTAACAGAAATATATTGATAACAAAATTAGCATTTCTAGACTTTTTAAGTGTGTAAAATAGAGAAAGAAAGGCCTATGCTCTGTGTATTTTAACCATGAATAGACGGGAGAGATTATCATGTGTACCACTCCTTTTTTATTACTATGCTCTGTGTTTTATACATTTCAAATTAAATGCCAAAAGTTATTTAAAATCACTTAAAGATCTTAATTTTTAGAAGTAATTTTATACCTTTTGAAAATTAAATTTTTGAAGTCATTTGTAAATTATTTTTAGAATTTAATTTTTAGAAGTGATTTTATATCTTTTGAAAATTAAATTTCAAAAGTAAAATTATAAATGACTTGTGGAATTTAATTTTCACAATACAAACTCACTTCCAATAATTAAATTATAAAATTGACAATAAAATGAGTGGTGCAAATAGAAAAAAAAAATCTTCATAGATAGTTTGCTTATAATTTTAATAGACGAGTGATATGACAGTCTCATGATGCCTTTATTTAGGTCAAGCATTATGTAATAATTGTTCAATAACTGATCCAACTCGTTTTCAATCTGTTAAACTAATAAAGAAATTTAAAAATCAAATAAATTGTAAACCAAAAAATTGAAAATAAAAAGAATTGTATTTTCTTTTGCAATTTAGTTTAGTTTTTATTCCAAAATTCAAAAGTGAACCAAATCAAACTGAACCTCAAATATGCTAACTTTATATTATTTTTCTATTTCTTTCTCATATAAACACTAATCTAAAATATATTTTATTAAATTATTTATATTTTTTTGAAAAATTGAGATGATTTTAATTTATGATTTATAAATTAAACTAAGGCTTAGTTTGAGTAAACTCATAGAGAAGTCATTGTAAGAAAAAAAAAGTCAGCATAAAAGATGAATAAAATTTCTTTTATAACTTGGAAATAATTTGTATTTTTCTATTTGTTTTGAAAAATTTTGAAAAGCTCTCTCATTTAACTTCTTTAAAAGATAAGTTATTTTTAATCTAAAAAAAATATTATTTTTTATACGAATTCTTTTTCTTCTGTAAAGACTTATCTAATCGCTCATTTAAATTGACCTAAGTTGTGATTTATGATAAAATTCAATACTTTTAACAAATTTTTTATTATATATTTAACTCTTTATTTAATCAGCATTATCTCTTAAATATAAAATTTCACCACCCCTATAAAATTAGTAGCTAAAGGAATTTATGTATTGATTTGAAATTTTATTCATACTGTAATTAATAAAATTTTATTTATTAACAAAAATATTAAAGTTGTGCCCTTTAAAAAATAAAGCAAAATATTGAAAATGCTAATCCAATCCAAATTGAAAAACATAAGTTTGAATTGGTTCAATCTTAATACTATCCTTAAACCGATCTAACTAAATTGCAAATAACCGACTAAAATTGAACAAAATTTTAATAGGAATTAAAATAAAAAATAATAATATTTATAAGAAAGAACTATAAATTTAATTAACAAGAGAATTCGCACAATCTTAATTTATCTTATTTAACAAATTGTTTTAGTGTATCCGACTAAGTTCCAAACATTTTCAACTCATATTGTCTAACATAGCAATAGCAACAATTGGTAGATTAAGAACGAAATCTTGAACTCTAGTTCGGGTATACGATTAAATAAAAGCCCATCTTTAGTTTGTTCTTGAAGATTAAATCTCGTATTTGGCACTTTTAATGCTCTTTGGGATTAAATGGCTTTATTGAATATTATTAACTGGTTTGTAGATTTTGTTCGCAATATGTTGGTTCTTTTTCAAAGTTTTATATTTGATGTTCTTATTATAAAAGGAAAAACTCTAATGAGTATGATTTAGCCTTTGAACCCATTTCTTCTTATAAAACATGTAATATCTCAGGTGAAACAGGAAATGAAGAAGGAAGAAAGGAAACATTGTTTTTGTTCTCGTGGGTCCTTTTCCTTGTTTCCCATTTGCGAGGGTTGGCTATATGTATGTACAAGGATTTTAGTGAAAATTTGGATCATAAGTAGAGTTGAACAGTTGCAACATGGGTTTTTGCTTTATAGCTATTTGACAATGACATTATTTTGTGGAATTTTAGGAGTTCAGAGCCATTAGATGAAAGTGATATATAAGAGAATACTCAGATCAAAGAGCAATCGTAGTATAATAAGGCATGAATCCCTTCTACACTTTTTTCCCTTAAAACTTTCTAAGCCACGCAATCTGTTTAGTTCCAACCATTTTCAATGTAATATTACAAAGACAAGAAGAGAAGCATCTTGTAGTCTCATCCTTTACTAGAAACTTAAAAATAATAATTAAATTTCACTCCCAAACACCAAGTTAATCGAAAATTTATTCTACTCCGTCAATTATTATCATAACTCTGTTATTATTAAAGGATGTAACTTAAATATAGTACTTAAAGTTTTTTTTTATTTGAGTTTTATCTTAATAATTAGCACATATTTTTATTATACAAATTATTGAGATAAAAATATAATTTTAATTAGAAAATATTATAAAAAATACTTAAGTTACTGCCCTAAATTTTATCCACTATGACTTGGGCTTTTTTTAATGTATAAGAAATTATTTTTATCCATTTTTTATTGTACACAAGACGTGACTTTTGTATGCTTACCCTCCTTATCTAAATTTGCAAGGAATCTTGAAAAATATACAAAACTTCGTATGCACGGAAATATAGTAAAAATTACGTTTAAATATACTTTTAATTTTAATTGATGAGTAATTTTAGCCCGTGTTTTTATTTTTATTTTTTGCTTTTGATTAGTTTGTCAATGATTTAAATTAAATTTCTCACTTCAAAATTTCATTCCATAATAAACAAAAATATGACAAGATTCCATTGATTTGTATAAATTTATACACAAAAATAAAATTAAATAAATAAAAAATATCTTTCATTATATTTTGTATGTTTATTTTTACTTAAAAATTTTGTACATTTTTATTTGCTAATTTATAAGAATCAGTGATATTATACCTTAAGACACATTTTTGCTATTTATCCAGTTATATTTTGAGATGAGAAACATATTTTGAATGATTAAAAAACTAAGATTAGAAGCAAGCAATTATAATTTGAGCCAAAATTATGCGTAAGCTAAAATATAAAGATTAAAAGTATAATTAATCCTAAAAATAATAATCAATGATATTTCCATATTAGGATAGGATAGAAAATTTACGAATGTTAAGAGGGTATAAGACTAAGACAATAAACTTCACGTACTCTAATTGAGGGGGGGATCATTTTAGGCTTAGGCCTACCAAACAATTTTTTTAGAAATGCTACGTAGCATTTTTTTTTTATTTAATGCAAAATAGAAAAATATTAACCCTCACACAATAAAAACGAAGTTAAATTAGTATGACGATTATTACATTATAGTAAATGAGGCTTTTCTGTATACATTGACTTCACATCAATGATTTATATATCCAACACGTTACAACAAAGTGAAATCAAGTAAAATAAGTCCCTTTCCCATAAAGGAGCATTTCATCTCATGTATGCAATTTCTACTATTTTCACTCAGAAAGGCCAAAAGTATACCAAACATGAAAAGTGACTAACACATATACTGGACACTATTTGTCAGAAAATACAAGATATTCCATTTCTGATATAGGAGACCAGAAAACAATAAAAGAATTTTTGTGGGATAGGGGAACACCTAGCATCTGAACAGTTATTAGGATTTATGAATATCATCGATGTACAAAATTACACCCACCGCAGTTGTCTGTATAATGCACAAGCCTTGCTGTATGGGAAGATCAAGCACAACTAGTTTCTCAGCTCATTGCCCTCCTGGATTCCTATTCCATGACAAATAGGATGGATCTCCAAGTTGCCTACAGTAAGAGACAAGACATATTAGGAGTTAATAATATTCAAAATATACGAATTTTAGACAACCAATAAACTATTTTACAATTTCAATGATATATATATTTTGAATCTATAACGGATACAACTGCATAGAAAGCACAACATGAACTAGGCCACGCTCATGATATTTTGGGTTTCGCACTTCTGCTATTTATCTATACAAGTTTCTAGTCAAAATTTTCATCACTACTCCAGGAGTCCTGGCAGGAACTAATATAATTTTCATTTTCTTTCTTATGTCCATATGCAAGAGAAGAAAACTCTCACATATCCAGGACAGGAAGTATTTCTTAAATATACAATTAAAATGTAATACCCTTAACATATAACTAACTCAAGCAATATGTAGATTCTAATCAAATTGCTAATGGGGTGGTAATCAAGAAGTCACAGAACAAGAGGACTTAAGTTTGATATGCTACTGGTGCAAAAAGAGAGCACATTCAACACTATTTCCGGTCAAATACATATGCAAGAAACTAAGCAACAAAATAAGAAAGTAAATTATACTTCAAAAGGGACTAGCATGGTAGAATAGGGGACTATTTTACCTTGGCTTGACAAGATATACAATGGTAAAGGACATAGCCAAAAAGAAGCTCAATCCTCCGACAGTGAGATAAGCAATGCCAAGGAAGTCATTCTTCCCACCGAGCCAACTAGTAGTTGACAGAACAAGCTTTTTCTTGCCATTAAAACTATATGTATTGTAGTTATTCTTCAATGTCACGTGTATGACATCACCTTCCTCTAGATCCACCTCAATCTTTCCATACAACTTCCTAAAAGTTGGCAAAGCAGCAGTTCGCATCCAAACCATAAGATCCTCCTGCTCATTCAACTGTTCCATATACATTCCAAAAGTAAGCAACTTATCTCATTTATGCAAGCAAATTGAGAATGCCCGGACGATCACAAGATGACCCACGGAAAATATCAGAAATCATATAAATGAAAGAAAAAGCAACAAGGAACATAAATGCATATAAATAGTTTCCAAATGAATGATCTATTTCAAGATTAGCTCAGCAAAAGTAACACAGAGAACTGAGCTGCATTTGGTGCAGTATGGAACAGGTACAAGAAGTTATGTCCAGTGCTTTTAAAATGAGCAGTTAATCATTAGACAGCCATTTCAGTGCAAGACTCAAGATGCCTTTTTGTTCACTAGCTTCCTCATCATTTGTTTATTCAAAGTCATGAAACAAAAAAAAAATGGAATCATCAAAGGTCTCAACACTTGAAGAGCAAAAAATTCATTCTTATCACAAGTTGTATGCTAACGTATAGCCTTATACATACATCAAAAGATAACTGGTCACATATAAAAAATTACTAAAATATATGTGCTGTATAATCAGGACCTCAAAACACATTCAGTCCATTGCATATTACCCAAACTAATTGTAATGAGTATAAGAAAAGAGAGGAGGTTATAATTATGGATTTCAGTCAAACGGTCCATTTTAGAGAACAGGAGAAGTAGCTACTAATGGACCCAAGAGTGAACTGTACTGTCTGTATATTATCATTCCTGGTATTTGAGCTCCAGAAGTATGGTGCCCAGTGTTACAGTATCATTCCCACTATCATTTATTATGAACATGATTAGAAATTCAACATCTTTATCAAATTTGGACAAGGATATTGTATTACTGAAAATGATGTGCCCAATTATTTTCTACTGCTATCATTCAGTATAGACTAAACACTGAAAATGTCAATAACTCAATCCTCACAGCAATAAAAAGATATTGATGTGGATTTTCAATTTTATATTCACTTCTACACTTCACATACTTACAAAATAAATATATTATTTTTCCTTGTAAAACTTTGCATGTATTTGGATTGATTAGCTGAGTAATTTCATCCAGTTATAAGCAACTCAAATAGAATTATCAATTATTTAACCAGATAGTTCTATTCCAAACTTAAGAAAGATAACTACTAGGATTTCCACATTGACTAAGAAGCCAGAATACTCCTTGACAACCCTCTTCCAATGAGCTAACTTTTGGAAGTGAGTTAGGTCTAAATTTCTAATATAGTATCAGAGTCTATCCAATTTAAATGTTAGGCCACCTGCAGATGTCCAATACTAGGCATGAAGAAGGAGGGGGGGGGGGTGTTGAGGTGTCTCACATCAGCTAAGAATACAGTCAAAATACTCCTTATAATGGTTAGACAAACCTCCTTCTATCAGCTATTTTTTGAAATGAGTTAGGCCTAGTTTTCTAATAATAACTATATCAGTAGTTTCTGCTTTCAAAATCAAGAAGTGGTTTAGAGGTCAATTTTATTAAAAGGACAAAAATACATCCAAAGAATACAAAACCCATGTGCACAGCATGTATACCAATCACTAGACTGTCTGAAGTAACTAAGTAACAACTACATTAATAAATAATAACTAACCAACAAATGCCGGCACAAATAATTCATGTTTAAACAATGGCTCAATTTAGACTGCAGGACATATCAAAATGCCTCTATTTACTGTTTTGTACTTAATCAAGGAAGATTATTGTACATATAGATGCTCATTTCAATTAAAATTTGAGTTCATGAAAGACTTACTGGTATTTTTTCATCAAGATGACCACCTCCTATTACTGAACCATTCTGGAAATTTTTTGGGAAAACATCACTTCCAAATTTGTGGTCCCTATCACTCTTCCATGAGATGCCTTTCTTGTTCACTGTCAAGTTATTGTTGTTGCGCGAGAAGCTGTATGTATCGTTGAACAAGCTCCAAGCTATAAGACCACAAGGTAAAATTGCTGTACCATTTACATAATCTTCAGGCTCACAACCACTTACTGAGTCTGCTTTTCCAGAATCTTTCAACTGGTCATCGTTTCGGCTTTTAACATACCTATATTACAAAAAATAGCATATTTATATGAATTCAAGCACTTATATACAAAGAACTATATGCATTAGAGTCCACTATTAACCAACTAAACTTTGAGACTGAAAAAAGAAAATTATTGAAGGAAGCAGTCAATCAAAGACATTGAAGTGATAGACAACTAGTATAAAAAAATACACATTTTTTAAAAAAGGAAAACTATTTTGAATATAAGATGCATGCATGAAAAATAACGAAGTTCATATCATTGGCTCTTGAAACTTCATCTCATACAAATACATCAGTTTTTGTGTCTAAGTCTGATGTAATTCCGTAAATTTCTTCAAGTTAATAGCTACAACTCTAAAAATATATTTATAATTTGTAAAAATAATTTTGGCATTTTACATGATAGCTTTTAAGTTTTAAATGAACTTCATTTCAGTTGCTAAACTAGTTATTTTTCTACTTTCATTGTACAACTGTACCAGACTAGCAGGGAGGCATGAAAGCTAAGCAAAAGTGCAAGTCAACAACATTTGTTAGGAATATGTAGAATTCCCCAATGAAACAGAAGGGCTGTATTAGACCGTTGGCAGCCAACATAAAATAATGTTGAATCCTTCTGACATGCATTCTCAACAATAAAACTCACATAGAGCCCAATGGTGTGGTGTGAATTGATCCTTGTAATGACACAACCATGCTAGACTCCCCACTCACCCACTCCCAGCCCATTTAGTCTATAGCCTAGAAATCCACACAATTTTTGGAGGGAAATAAGCAACAAAAGCTGATATTGTCAAGACCCACCGAAGATAAGACCAGATCCTAGTCACTTTAGACTAATTTCCTCATGCCTAGTAAACATGAAATTCAATCAGATAAAAGAATTGCATGATTCAAAAGAAATGAAAGTAGATACCGCCGATGATTCTGGTAAAAGTTGTCAAGCTGGTAGTAAACATAAATAGGAGACTTCATACGCTTCTCCACCTATTGACAAAAGCAATGTTTCAGAAAACAAACTATCATCAAAATTAGAAATCCATAATTTATCAATTATGGGAAAAGTTAACAAAAAATCAGTAATTAAATGACAAAAAGAGAAATCTGTGTCGAGGAAACTTACATGTAGCTCCCTGGTGCATATTTTTTCTCCAGGAGTCTGAATGTATGCTACCTTGTCTGTCACATTTGACGGTATGCACTGTGAGTCATACCTATCAATAATTTCAACAACCTAATAGATAATAAAAAGAATTTGAAATCAACACTCAGCAGTATTTATAATATACAGAACTGGTAAGCAAAATTCAGAAAAGTATTGCACTCAAGCATACATCATGGGAAGCAATTAACGAAGCAACTCCAATAGGAATGAATGCGATGGTGATAATCAAGAATGCTGAAATAACCTGCAGGGAAAGCAATACACTGCATAAATAATGACTTCTAAAATCATGTAGAGAATCACTGACAACATATCCAAACAGGTAGATTTACCGCTCGTGGCGTGAGAATAGGTTTGCATGCTGGAAGTTCTTGTTGTGTAAACTTCGAGTCTGAAAGGTATGAAGATTTCCAAAGAGAACTCTAGTCAGCAAAGTCGTGTGTAATTAGAAACAACAAAGGACACAAACACAATTGTTATTAAATCAAAACACACTGTTTAACCTCAAAAAAGACTCCTCAACTAGCTCAAAAGCGTTTCGTTACATAAACACCAACACTCGAAAAAAATAATTTCGAAGGGTACCCATATACTAATATTTGTTTTAACAAAGTATCATAAATTCATGAAATACAGCTTCAAAAAGGGTCTTAAACGGAGAAAAGCTCATCGTCCATTTCAGAAACGAACCTCAACAAAACCATTAACCCTTCCCAACTCATACAGCAACAACCTTAAATGTCGACCTTTCGAAGGAAGGTCCTCCAGGTAAATTGTATTTACTAAGTTTTGTTCAAAACAAAAATTTGCAAGACAAACACAAAAAATCACAAAAAACAAAACATGGGTATCCACGAAAGCCAAAAACAAATGAAAAGAGAAGATAATCATTACACTTGGGTCTCTTGCTTTGTCTCCTGGTAGCTGAGGAACCATTGGATCCATCACCCCCAGCGTTAGACGAAGCCATAACCAAAGAAACAATCCAATGCAATGATAAACTTAGCCTTTTTCGAAAAAGCTCGAAGACCCACAAGAGAAATGAAACCAAGGAAGAAGAAGAAATCAACAAATGAAAATTGAAATCTGACAGAGAGAAAGAGAGAGAGAAAGGGTGGTTATAATATTTGATAGCGAAGAGAGGAAGGGTTACCGGCTGGGTGGGTGGCTCTGGGAATTGACTTTTATTGAAGAAAGGAAGAAGGAAGGAGGGTTCTTTTGGCGGGGGCGGCCGGTGACCCTTTCTCTCTCTCTCTCTCTCTCTCTCTTCGATGAAAGAACAGAGAAATGAGAGAGAGAAAGGCACAGCGAAGAGAGAGAGAGAGAGACCAATTACCAGTCAAACATATACAAATGCAAATCACACGGTTTGAATTCAACTGCTTATCGAATGCGCTATGCCAATTTCTTTTCTTTTCTTTTCTTTTTTTTTTTTTGCTTTCTAATTTTGGATTTTCAAACGTTCCAGAATACTGACAGTGGACCGGGCTGAAAGTTCGATATCATATGTTATAAACCATTATTTATATTCTTTAATATAAGTTTAAAGATACAAATTTAATAAAGATTTTTTATTCAAATTATAACTTTTAATAAAAAAATTATTATCACAACGAGCGAGGTAAAAGTGGCATTTTTCATAAAATATTAGTCATGGAAAGAAATTAACTTAATTTCGGTCGTGTTTTTATGATTATAAAGGTTGAACTTATCATGAATTATATAAAAAATTATATAACTCGATTTTAAATTTTTTTTTATGATAAAAAAGGTTCCTGTCAAAATAAAATGTTTGATTTTAATGTAAAAATAATATAATAAAGGTTGACTTCTTATACACGTCACATAATTAATAAATATATTAATTTTAAAAATATTTAATAAATAATAAATTAAATATAAACAAGCTCCTAATTACTATTTATCTTTAGCAGATTTTTCTTATCAAATATTTTAAAATTTATTTTTTTAGATATTTAGGGTATGTTTGTTTGTATTTTAAAAAAAATAAAAATATAAAAATACAAGTAATTTTATTTTTTAAAAAGAGAAAAAAATCTTTTTAAAAATGTAAATAAACATATTCTTAGTTTAATTTTTATTTTTACTTTTCTAGAGATTTATCGGAAAAGAAGGAGAAGGAAATGGAATTTGTACTCTCTTTATGTTTGGTTTAAATATTTTGACCTCCGTGGAGAAATGGAAGAGAACAATCTCTCTCAAGTCAATCTTTGCTTCCCTAAACAATGGGAGAATTTGGATAGGAGACAAAGTGTACTTAAATGTTTAAAATTATAAAAATTAAAAAATTTTATAGTAAAATTAAAAATTTAAACTTAATTTTTTATTTTTTTTCTTAATAAACTAACTCTAATTAACTTACTTCATACCTTTTTACTAATGAGTCTCTTTATTTGAATGAATTTCATACAAGTAATATTGCTTTTTATATTGTGTTAATATTTTAATTTTAATTTGATTGTGTACAATGATATTTAAAATGTTAAATTAATTTCCTTTTTAGTTTTTTAATATAAATTTAATTAGTTAAGACCTATAAATAGGATAAGTTATAAAAATAATAACATTCTAATCTATTTATTATTATAAAGAATTTAAGACAGTAAAGTAAATTTATTTTATTTCTTCTCATTCACAATCGAAACAAGAAGAGGGTTATTTTTCTTTCTTTTTCCTTTTAAGAATTAAAATAAAGCATTCAATAGTTTGTTTTCTCTTCCTTCACTTCTTTGTTCTTTTTGGTTATAAATTTTCAGAGATAGAGAATGATGTCTCATGTTGTAAAGACTTGAAGATGAGTGAGGATTTGAATTTATATTTATTGAATACAAGACTTTAACTCCCTCCCCTCTCATCCCTTAAATACACATTGAAGAGTTTAATATTTTTACTGTGTATTACTCAAAATATATAATTTCAGTGGAGGAATCACTATGCCAGAAATGAGATAAGTTTTTGGAGCGTTAACTTAGACAGCGGTTAGTAAAAATCGCTTTGTAATTATATATTTAGAGAACTGTTCTTTATTAATCGCTCTCAAATCTATACTTTTGAGAGTGGTTCTTTGTTAACCGATCTCAGAACTATACTTTTGAGAGTAGTTCTCTATTAACTGCTCTCTAAAGCCTTTAAAATTGTTTATAAATGAAACACGCTCAACGCATTTTTTCTTCCTAACTAACAAAGTTAGTCTCTTTTACTATAAGTTCTGTTCGTCTTCTCTATTCTCTTATGTTTTTTTCATATTTTTCTGTTAGTTTGTTCTCTTTGTCTTCTCTCACTAACAATTTTTTTTTTTTTGCATATGTAGGTACTTCTTCATTCTCTGTAAACTTGCTATCTTCATCTTCTATACGCTAACAATTTATTTTTCTTTCATATCTGTAGGTACATCTTCATTCTTTGTTAGCATGCTCTCTTCATATTTTCTGCGCTAATAAATTGGTTTTTTTTTCACATATGTAGATATTTCTTCATTCTTTCTTTCTTTCTTTCTTCTTTTCTTTGTTAATCGTGAATCATCCATTCTCTCTTTCTTTCTTTTTTTCTCTTTATTAACATTAAAAATATTCTACTAATTTTTTTTTATTTTTCTGTTTGGTTCATGCGGATGTAGATTGTTTGGTTAACACAAAACGTATAAACTCACAAAGAAATTAATTCTAAATTTTGATTTAAACGTAATAATAAATTAATTTTACTTTGCAACAAAAAACTCAAAAAGAAACTAATTTCAAATTTCAGATTCGCAGTTTATGTTTATACTTTGGAGAGGAGTTTCACGTGAAACCGCTCTCTAATCTTACACCTATACTTTGGAGAGCAGTTCCACGTGAAACCGCTCTCCAATCTTAACTTTTGAGAGCGGTTGTTTAATCGCTCTTTTAAATATAATACATCGGATAGCGGAAGATTTTAGAGAAATATTTAGAGTAAAGAAAAGAAGAATGAAGGGTGTTAAGATTCCTTCTAAAACAATTCAGAGATATAGAGGAGAAAAAAACATTACATTCATTGAATTAAATTGTTTTAAAATTGATAATTTTTTATTTATTTGATCCATAAATATAACTATAATTTACTCCTTTTTTTCTTCATAAACTGAATAAGTATTTTTTTTTAATTTCCTCTATTCTCTATTAAATTTTTTTCTATATGACTCACATGTTGCAGCACTTGAAATGTCCTTCATTTACATATTAAACAATAAGTAACTCATTTGTGTATTTTTCGTTTACATACCAAACAAAAAGTGCAAATCTTCTTGCATTTTTAAGAACGAACATTAATTTTGTTCTAATATAAGTATATGATTGACAACTTTTGAGCTTCATTTTATATTTATTTCTTCTTACAAGCTCTAATTTTTATGTTTGTCAATGTTGTATCAAAATAAATGAGTTAATAAAAATAAAAACATAAAATAAAACTTGAGATGTTCTTTAATGATTTACCTTAACTGAAAAAAATTAATGTTTGTTCATAACATATCTAAAAAATGTATGCTGAAGTTTAAAAATGCAAGAGTTTGTTGTTTTCAAACTTTGTTTAAAATTTTTGAACTTGTTTCACTATTATCTTTAAAATGTTATTTTTAAAATTATCTTTTACATTAATTATAGAAAAATTAGGTCAATAAGTTGATTTTTTATATCAGTTCAAAAATTAACTGAACTAAAATGTTATGAATATTTTAGTCTTTTTAATATTAAACTTTGAAAAAGGGTAACTTTTTTTTATTTTTACACAACTTTAATTTATAAAAATTGTATATTTATTTTATATAACTTTTTAAGATCTATTTAGATCAAATATTTCAAAAAAAAAATAAAATGAAACAAGTGTATTTTAGTTTAATTCTTGATTGCATAATATTAAAATACTTTAAGTGTGAGTCTTATATTAATTAAGATTTAATTAATATATTTTATTATTATTTAAAAAAGTAACCGATCTTAAAAAGTTTTGAATTTTAAATTGTCATGAAAGAACCATTTAAAATATATTTTTTTACATAAATTTAAATTTGAATTAATCTAAATAGTATTTTTATATTAGTTAATTAATAATTGATTTAAAATTTTTTAATTATTTAAAAAAATTTATTATACTTTTTATTAAATCGAGTAGTTATTGACTTAAGTTGAAAAAGACTTTCTACAGTAAGGTTTTCAATTGTCGAACTGTCGATGAATGATGAATGCTTAATTTCCCCTAAATAAGGTTTCCGATTCAAATCTTTGTATATAGAAAGAATTTCTGTTAGGAGAGTTAGCTTTACTACACTGTAGACATTCCTAGTTAAAAAAAAATTGTTTTCAACAAAAAATTATCAACTTAATAATATATTTTGTCCCTATAGTGCTTTTTAAAATTAGTCTTTAAAATTTTTTATTAAAATTTATTTTCTAACATTTTCAAATTATTTGAAATTAGTGTTTATTATTAAGGGTTATTAATTAAGTAATGAACTGGATAACAAAATTCAACTCATTATCATTGTATAGTAATTTTTAATATCTATTATTTAAAGATTAATATTTTTTAAAAAGTTTTTAAAAAATATTTATATTATTTTAATATATTTAAGATGATTCAACGGGTTTCAATCTGAAATATACCAACTCAATTTCATATTAAACCAAATTCATGAAAATAAATTTTTTTTTCTCTTTTTTGTCACTCAATGATCTAAACACACTAACTTTTCAAGAAAATTTTCATAACAAGGGGTAAAGGAGGTGAAAATAAAAATTATAAATATCTGCACAAATAATTTATTTTGATTATTAGTAATTTTCAGTTTAAAATTATAATAAATAAATTAATCAAGTGTTATTTATCATATTTAAATTATTAATTTAAATCATATAAAATTAACTCGTATCATTCTATACAAGTGTTAGAAAATTATATTTATCATATTATCATCTTTTCATTTCTATCCATCTATATGATTGGCGGCATTTCTAATAATAACCTGAATAGTTGGTTACCTGTCACTTTCAAAGTTGAAACAGGAAAGCTAATGAGAAAATAAGGTAAAATAATATATTTTTCTTTAAGTAAGATATACAAATTAAAATTAATTATTATGTTAATCCATGAATGCACATTGAGCTCATGAAATTATCTTTTTTAAGCATAATTTTTTTTTCAATTTAATGTATCTTTCAATAATTTCATCTATTTTTAACTTTCAACTCTAACATATAACTGCTTTTGTTGAGTAAGTAATCACATGCAATGATTAAAAGTATTTTTTAAATTACAAAAAATTTTATAAACCAATACAAATAGTCACATTTTTTAAGTAATTAAATGTCGCAATACATGAAAATTCTTGTATAGAAATTAATTTTCTCTTTTCTAAAATCATAGTTTAGTCATCTTTCACTATAAATTACACTTTGAAATTTTATGCAAAGATATGAGTGAGAAAGAAGATGATGTTGACGAAGATGAAAAAAACTACAAGGGGATGAGTCCTTGACTTGTTTTGAGAAAGGAAGCGTTATACATTGGGTAGTAACAATGTAGGTATTAAATTTCATTATTTTAATTTTTTATTTATGAGATGGGACCAGTGATAGAGATGAAAGCTTTCCCTCATAAAATTATATGACAAATTCATGATAGATTGATTGGAGAGTAGAGTGATTCGAATTATGACTTTTTAACAAAATAACATTTGGTTTTTGAGTGAATAATTTTTTTTCAATCCAAAAAATTAAACTTGATTGGACCCACACCCAATTCAACTCATCCGATTAGCATTCTTGAACTTTTGGTTAGCATGGTTTGATCATTGTGTCAACACCACCTTCACAAGTTGAAACAAATATACATTTTTGGAGTACATTGGATGTTTTAATCTGTCACTGAGAATGAGAAAGGACGGTTTTGGGACCAACGAGTTTACCTTCAAAAGGAATATATTCATTTATAGCCCTAAAAAATGCGTGAATCAAAAGCAAAGCACACATTAATGGAACCTACATTCTTTTCCTTTTTCTATTTTGTTAAAGCACTACTAAGGAAAAGTGAATCTCCATTCTTTGTTGTTCGATTCTTAAGAGTGTAAAACAAAATCATAAACTTGTCATGTTCTTCATTTGACCTAAACATTCATTAACAACGTTAATTGTCTAACCTCCAATTCTAGATGCGTTGGCACTTGACATGTTATATAAATATTTTTGTTAAATATTATTATATCCACTAATGACAAAAATTAATGTGATGAACATTTCAACAACTCAGACACTAAAATAAAACTATTATTGTTAAATTAGAAACAAAACTAATAGGGGATTATAAAATTAATATGACATGATTCCGTTTTCATTCTCATAGAAAAATTTCTCCCTTACTTCCTATATCTAGTCTAATACTTATTTTTTTTCAATCTTTTTACTTTCTTACATTAATAATGGATAGTAACCACTTGCCAATTACAGATTAATTAATTACGAGAATCTATATTTTATAATTTATTCCATTCTTTGATTCATGGCTTATTGGATACACCTTTTTTTTGAAAGAATTTTATTTTTCATTGAATGCTTTATAAATCTGAGGAGCAGAATGCACCCTGCGAAACCAAAAGACATGCCCCAACTGGGCTTCTGCCTTTACTATTTTGAAAAATTGAAAATCTTTATGCACTGAATCTCCTATTTCTCGCACAATATATGCTTGCGATTGCCAATCCATATGAAACATGGAAGATATTGATCCATTCCGTGGATTTGTATCTCATCCTTTTTTAACTCAAATGAATAAAATTGAAAATAATAATTAATCCTTTTAATCAGCAATAGTTATATATTTATACAATTCCGAAACTTGTATATTTAAAATAAAAAAAAGAACTTGAAAGACATATTAATATTGGTATCTAGATGCTAATAATAAAAAATGCATGAAAATACTAGGAAAGGAAATCCAACTGGTGTTCTAATGATCTAGATTTACTTGGGTGCTGGTCAAAGTTCGTTCATGGTGAGAACGACTTTTGCACATAAAGATGGGTTTACAATAACATTATAATAAAATGTTCAACAAGCATTTTGTGTATCACACTAACTCTTATACTTTTCGGACGGAATCTTCCTTTGATTGTCTGTAAAGAAAGCATTTATTCTGATTCGATTGGGAAGAATCACCACATTAATTTCTTTACATTTTTTTTTTAATTTCCAAGGGAGACTAGGGAGTTCAATTTTCTGTTCATATTTATATTTATCATTACTGTTTTTCATTGAAAATAATTTAGATATAGAGAACGCTTTAACTTATTCTTCTTAACATAATTTTTTAATACACGTCTTATAATTGGTTAATTATTATAAATGTCAAAGCAATTTTTAAAATGTAATCAAATTTTAAACTAAATTTTATTTTTAAAAAAAAGAAAAAAGAAAACAAACACTTTCTAAGTGGTCTTACTGTTTTGAAATGAATTGACTGCCGATAGTGTGTTAGGAGTGTGCATTCAAAATATATATTGTTAACATTTTTTAAAGATATATTAAGCCACTTATAATTTCATTAATTAGGGTCGAAACATGTGATACATATGTGTTTTCTATTAAATAAGGTCTCGAGTTGTTAATAAAAAAAGTTCAACTAACAAGTTAACACTACCATGTACAAAATTTTCCTGTCAATTACACGATTGAAACTTTTCCTTGCTAAGGACATAAAGCTGTTATTTCCATTGTAGCTGAGAGGGCATTGATGGCTTCATACTATAATCATTATGCTAAAAAGGGTGTTGTACCACGAAATTACCATGCATCACATAAACGGCCAATTGTTGAGATTATGTCCATAATGCATTGAGCAAATTAACACTGTTCAATATGTAAAAGATCTAAGGTACCAAAAAGTGGAGTCTATCATCATCACATGAGTGGTTTCACTCACTATGCCCGAAAAGCTATATACGCATTTAAAATTCCATAAAGGATATCATTCTCTGACTGGAATTAATTAGAGACAAGATCAATTTAATTACTTCAAACAATGCTTAATGTATGGTACGAATTACTTTTTACGAAAGTAAACTGGAATGAGTTGTCATTCTTCTTCTTAATTTCTAGATACATGTAAATCAGCCATGTTTAATTATATAACAATTTTACTATTTAAATTTTTTTTAAAATTTCGTTATTTATAATCTAAGTATATATATATTTTTTTATATATATACACATATTTTAAAATATACTAAAAACACAATTAAAAATTATCCTTCAAATTTTTAAATCGTATTTTTGTAATTATAATTTATTGCAACCACTGATTTAGTAATTCAAGGTTTGAGTGATAAAGAGAGAGAAGGCTTTGGCAAAGGTAGGTTTGCATGTTAGAGTAGAAATGCTTTATTTTAAAAAAAATAAATCTTTATATTTAACCCATCCTCTTTAAGCAAGGGAGTTCTTCCCCTTATTCTTTACACTTTAGAAGTTAAAGCCTTTCAAAACCTTCATCTCCTCTTCAATTAAGCCGCACCCTATGCTTCCCTCTTTGCATCTCATTTGTTCTTGATTCTCTCTTGGTTTGGTATTCATCTTAGCTTCTTCTCATCAGAGAGAGAGAGAGAGAGATGGAAAGGATGTTCCCTCCTAAGAAGCCTTCAACTATGAATTCCCATGACAGACCCATGTGCGTACAAGGGGACTCAGGGCTTGTCCTCACCACAGACCCAAAGCCACGCCTCCGTTGGACTGTTGAACTCCATGAACGCTTTGTTGATGCTGTTAATCAGCTTGGAGGGCCTGATAGTAATAATCCAACACCCTTTTCGTTCTTTTCTTTCATTTGGGTGCAAATTATATAATATCAAATTGTAAATATAATAACTATGTATTTGCATCTCCATCTTTTAGTTACTGTTTTCTTCTCTCTTGTGCATGTGGTCTATAATTTGTAGAGGCCACTCCTAAAACAATCATGAGGGCTATGGGTGTGAAGGGTCTCACACTTTACCACCTCAAGAGCCACCTTCAGGTTTGAATACAAATCATATTTCACACTTCTTTTGCTTTTCGTTTAGCACACTTTTGTGACACTGTCCATTTCTCAGGCTATCTTCTCTCTCTCTCTCTCTCTCTCTCTTTTTCCTCTTCCCTTATGTTTATTGGCTAATTTGATCTTTGTATTTCATAGAAATTCAGGCTTGGAAAGCAGCCCCACAAGGAATTCAATGAGCACTCAATTAAGGATGGTATAAGAGGTGACTACTCTTTTTCATTTTCTAAGGTCCCTTAATTTATTTTCTTTTTCTTTGAGGTTTAATTTTTACATTTCGATCATGGAGCCCTTCTACACATATATTGATATATATCGTCAATTTTCCTGGTAGCGTCGGCTTTAGAACTGCAAAGAAATCTCGGATCCTCTTCCACCATGATTGGCCGCAACATGAACGAGTATGTCTATCTTACCTCTATCTTTTATTAAATCAACAACCACAATTATATTAATAAACAAAATTTGAAGATATAATTTTCCACCCTCTTCTCTATTCTTTCAAGTTATTTTTTTTAATTTATAAACAAAAATTGTGTGCGTGTTTAATTTAAATTATTTTTTTAAAAAAATAATCAATTAATTATGTCGGGCTATCGTGTGAGATTATTTTTGTAAGTTTACTTTAAAAAAATATTAATTTCTTGTATCAAAAGTTTGATTATTTCTCGAAAAAAGCACTTCCCAATTATATACTAATTAAGTTTTTTATTTGTATTCTTTTTGGGTTCTTGGGCGGGAATTCGGGTGTTAATAGTGGTATGTATGTGTGACACTGTAGAAAACAGTTACTCAAACATGGTTCATGCAATATTTAGGACGCAAATGGAGGTTCAGAGAAGATTTCATGAACAACTAGAGGTAATTAAACACGACCAGAAAGAACCAATAATTGGATCTCTGAAGTTTGCGACATGTGCATGTTTAGTTCAGATGTATTTACATGGCAGGTTCAAAAACACCTTCAGCTAAGGATTGAGGCTCAAGGAAAATACATGCAGAGTATATTAGAGAAGGCTTGTCACACACTTGCAGGTGAAAACACAGGCACAAACTTAAAGGGTATTGGAGCTCCTCAAAATACCTCTGAGATGGGGGTCATGAAAGAAATCGGTTCTCTTAATTGCACTTCTTTTCAAGATCTTAACATTTATGGTAGTGGTGACCAACTTGATGGGTTTATGCCAACTAATAATGAGAGTTTATTTGTGGGTAAGAAGAGGCCTTGCCCCTATAGTGGAAGTGGAAAGAATCCATTGATTTGGAATGATGATCTCAGGCTTCAAGATTTGGGAACGGCTTCATCATGCATTAGTCCTCAAGATGATCCTTTCAAAGGTGATCAACAGGTTCAAATTGCACCACCATCAATGGATAGAGGTGCTGATAGTGATCCCATGTCAGAGATCTATGACACAAAGGCAGTACTACTGCAGAGGGAAAGTGTAGGTGGTCAGAAGAAATTTGATGCATCTATGAAGCTTGAAAGGCCATCATCCAAAACATCGCCTCTTCGAGCAGAAAGGATGAGTCCAATTATCAATACTGATTCCATAGCACAAGGTAGAAGCTCACCATTTGGTTGAGAATTTTAATTAATACGCTTAATTATATGTAATTGGCTATTAGTATAGTTTGAGATGTAGGGTTTTGAATTGGGTGTTAGAGATTAGCAGTTCATACGGATGTTATAATTTTCTGCCAAGTAGTAATATTACTGGTATAAAGCCTTTGTTTGCATGGCAAATCAAAATTCTCATTCTAATCTAATTATATTAAAGCGGTTTAATTGTACTTGAATTTGATCATTCTCACATGTTCTAACATCTATTATATTGTACATATCTGTTGGTTAACTTTATTTTGAATTTTTTAACATTATATTAATTGATCTGCTGACAAACTGATCTTCTCTGCTTGTTATGATGATGGATAATCAAATGAACATTCTACACTTTTGGGGTGTATATACAAGATAGAGATAGAGAATAATAAACAAGAGAAAAAATAGACGTAACAAGTAATATTATGAGGAGGGAAAATAGAAAGAAAGATCCAAAGGAATGTCACATGAGTATAAGATAAAAAAGTTCAAAAATAAATTGAACAAAATTGGAAGCAAGTAAACTTTTCCTCTTTTTATCGCATTGAAGGTTTTCCCTTTATAACTTTTTTCTTGGACCCACTTCTATATATTAAGCTTGACATCGTGATTGGGGAACATTCTCTGCGTCACTATTAAGCAGTTTCTTCTGGTCGTTTATATCTTGGTTCTGCTATGTGGTTCATTAATATCCTTAAAAAAACAAAAGGTCTATATTGGCTGCACCCACTTCAGGTAGCAACTTGTGGCTGATCATGTTCAACCTAGTACACTATATAATACGATGATGTTAGAATGGGAACGAAATTGATTCTAAGATGCATGCTAAATGGATTTGAATTTGGATATCAGCATATGGGGCTATATATGAATATTAATGTTATAATATTTAATTTACATTTTATCCATTGTGATTTTCAAAAGAGAATAAAGTAAAAAAGAAAATAAATAATTAAGTTATAGAAGAAAGCCAAAATAAGTAGCATTATAATTAAATTCCTGAAAAATATATTTTATTGGGTGAATCTACAGGTAGGGATGGAAACAGGTCAGGACAGGCCAGACTTTACTCTAAACAGGCCTGTCTTGTAACATAATTATTAGGCCTGAGTCTGGTCTGTTACCTATTAAAGGCTTTATTTTAAGTCTGGTCTGACTTGACTTGAAGTCTGTTACAAAAAAAATCATATTAATAAAAATATACATATTTTATTATCAAATTAGTTTATATGTTTTTTAATTTCTATCTATGTTATTAATAATTATTAAATAATTATAATAATATCTATATAATTTTATAAATAATTTTTAAAATATTATTTAAGTATTAATTATAAATATTTTATATTAATAAAATTTATATTTATATTTTTCTTGATTTATTTTTAAAAATTATATAAATAGTAAATATTTTAGTTTTATTTTAGGAATATATTCTATTTGTTTAAAGACATCTTATATTCAATAAATAAAGTTATAATAAACACATAAAATTGATAAAAAAAATAACATTCACACAATTTGTTGAATCAATTAAAAGAAAATTATTATGTTCTAAAAAATAAATAAATTTAAACTTAATGTAATATATATATATATATATATATATATATATATATAAAATGACAATAATAATAACTATTAAATTAAAAAAATAATTACAAAATATTTAATTTTATTTGTTTCATTAATTTATTATTTTAAATTAACAAATAAACATAAAATTAACTATATTATAACATTAATGTAATATAAAAAATATTACTGATACAATAAATTAAAACATATACTTATATATTACATATAAATTGATAAATTAACTAAAAATTTAATTAAAATACGTGCAAGTTACAAAAATATATATTATTATATAATTTATTTATAATTATATTGTTTGTTATATGGTCTGATTATATATATATATATATATATATATATTTATTAATATATATTATAATACATTTTATATTTTATTTTCTTATCATTTGTTATAAATTTTTTCTTTCAAATAAAATATAATTTATATTTAAACAGTTTTTATTTATTATAAATATAAAAAATTATAACATATTATATTAATATAATAATTGAATATTAATAATAATAAAATTAAAAATATGAAAAATTTATTAAAAAAATATTAATATTTTATTTTTAAATTTTAATTCATTTATTCTTTTTCAGCTTGTTTAAATATAACAAATATAATAATTTATGATTAAATAAATTTAGTTTTTAAACACGTGTAATCGTGTATAAATATTTTTAGTTTCAAATATAATATAATTTTTATTTATTATAAATAAAAAATTATAGCATAATATATTAATATAAAAATTAAATATTAATACTAATAAAATTAAGAATATAAAAAATAAATTAATATAATGTTATTATTTTCTTTTTAAATATTAGTTTCTTTAATTTTGATTGTATTCTAATCTTATTCGAAGACTTTGTTACTCTTTATCTTGTTCAAACAAATATAATAATTTATCTTATATTTATATTTAAAGTAACTATAGATAATAATAAAATAAAAATAAAAATAAGTGTGATAATAATTTTGGCTCATAGGTATGTGGTTGTGTTAGATGTGTAATTTGTTGTGATATAGTTAATACAATCAATGAAATTTTTTATTATAAATTTTATACCAACAAAATTACTTAAAAAAAGATAAAAAATAAAATAAAATTTGTATAATATTAAAAATTTATAATGATTATTGTTATTGACTAATATTAATAAAAATATAATTATTTTATTATCGTATATTCAAATTTTTATTTGTGTTATTGATAATTATTAAATAATTGTAATAATTTTTATATAATTTTATAAATAATTTTTAAAATATTATTTGAGCATTAATTATAAATATTTTCATATTATAAAATATATATTTATTTTTATTTTTCTCAATTTAATTTTATAAAATCATTAAATTATTAAATATTTTAATTATTTTTTATGATAATTATATTTTATTTGTATAAAGACATCTTATATTCAATACATAAAATCACAGTAAACACATAAAATTGATAATAAAAAATAACACTTACAAAATTTATTGAATCAGCTAAAAAAATTATTATATTTTAAAAAGTAAATAAATATCGTTATTATAAAAATTATCGATAAAAAATATTTATATTAAAAAATTCATAGATGCAAAAAAATAACATATGAACATAGAAAAAATTATTAAAATTTATATTTAAATTAAAATCACTTATATTTCTAAATATTTATCTTAATTAAAAAATATGTGATAAAATTTAATATAAAATAACAATAATAACTATTAAATTAAAAAAAATAATTACAAAACATTAATTTTATTTGTTTCATTAATTTATTATTTTAAATTAACAAATAAACGTAAGATTAACTACACTATAACATTAATGTAACATAAAAAATATTACTGATACAATAAATTAAAACATATATTTATATATTACATATAAATTGATAAATTAACTAATAATTTAATTAAACCACGTATAATTTACAAAAATATATATTATTATATAATTTATTTATAATTATTTTATTTATATTATTTGTTACATGGTCTGATTATATATATATATATATATATATTAATATATATTATAATAAGTTTTTTATTTTATTTTATTATCTTTTTTTAATAAATTTTTAATTTCAAATAAAATATAATTCAGATTTAAGCAATTTTTATATATTATAAATAAAAAGAATTATAACGCAATATATTAATATAATAATTTTAGATTCTTTGCCACTTTTGGGAGCATTTTACAGAACTTGAGATCCTTGGATGACAGCCAAGGGCAATTTTAGGGTTTGATTACAATTTCTTCTTCAATTTCCTTTAATTCTTGCATTAATGTCATTGAATTCTTTTATCTTTCATCTTAATTTTGTAAGACCCATCTTCATGGAGGGCTAAACTTTCTTATCCTAACATTGATGCTCCTTTTGTTCTAAAAACTGGACTAATACACTTGTTGTCAAGATTTCATGGCCTTGCAGGTGAGGATCCGCACAAGCACCTCAAGGAGTTCCATATTGTCTGTTCAACCATGAGGCCACAAGGTGTGCCTGAGGAGCATGTCAAATTAAAGACTTTTCCGTTCTCTCTGATGGATGCAGCTAAGGATTGACTCTACTATCTTCCTCCAGGATCTATTGTTAGTTGGGATAACTTGAAGAGACTTTTCCTGGAGAAATTTTTCCCAGCATTAAGAGCTGCATCCATAAGAAAGAAAATATGTGGGATAAGGCAACTTGAAAGAGAGACCCTCTATGAATATTGGGAAAGATTCAAGAGGTTGTGTGCTAGCTGCCCTCATCACCAAATTAGTGATCAATTGTTGATACAATACTTTTATGAGGGACTGCACCCTATGGACCGAAGCATGATAGACGCTGCAAGTGGAGGGGCATTGGTTGACAAAACTCCAGTTGCAGCCCAGAATTTGATAGAGAACATGGCTGCTAACTCACAACAATTTGCAACAAGGCATAATTCTTGTGTTACCAGAAATGTGAGTGAAGTTCAAGTTGCTGAGTCTAGTAAGATAGAACACAAGCTTGATGAATTGGCATCCATAGTGAAGCAATTGGCTTCCATGCAAAAGAGTGCTGCTGCCTCTTCACCTCCTCTACCACCTATTCCAGCCATGCTGTGTGGCATTTGCTCAGCTACAGACCATTACACTGATAGCTGTCCTACACTGCAAGAGTCTGATATTCTAGAAAGTAATTCTCAGGCTTATGCTGCAAATATTTACACTAATAAATTTCCTTTTCCAAATTCGCAGCAGCAGCCCAATTGGGATCTATCTTCTAATAGATACAACCCAGGTTGGAGGAACCATCTAAATTTGAGATGGGGGAACAATTCTCAACAGCACAACCAGTAGCAAGGCACTCAATATCAAGCACATCATGTTGGCCCAAATAGACCCCATCAATCCCAACACCTACCACAACAAGCCCAACACCATCACCAACCATCTTTCTCACAACCAAGTGCATCCCAGAAAAATGAACCATCATTGGAGGAGCTCATGAAGTAATTGACCATGAATAATATCACTTTCCAGCAAAGAACCGAGGCTAGTATTAAGACTTTGGAGAACTAAATGGGACAACTAGCCTCGTCTCTGAACCAGATGCAATCTCAAGGTTCA